CTGGGGTGCTGCCCGTCCTGCACACAGTCCCGGCAAAGCACGAGCAAGTCTGGCCCTAGGGATTCCATCCCTCCCCAGCCCTGGCACCGCCCCTCCCCTCTCCTCCCCTGCGTAATGCCTGGCTGGTAGACACGTTTACGCTGCGTGAGCGTATCTACGAAGTTGCATACTGCCCGGCTGGTACAGATACTCATAATAAAACTTAATTAGAAAATACCGGACATTTATATATACACAGTATTCTCTCAATTTATTTCCTGGACAGAAACCTCAAATACAAGATTGTCTGGTTCAAAACTGGACACCTGGCAACCCTATTCATCCCTTAAATTCCCCTTCCCTTCCCCGTTGAGCTGATCACCTCAGCTCAAAGAGCTACTGGCCTGGGGAGCTCTGATTTGACTTAGGAGGAGATCAAACTAAACATACCTACTTCTCCCCAAAAATGTCATGGAACTAACATGTTTGCTGCCATCACATTGTTGTGTGTTAGACTTCTTTTACTACATTGCATCTGTCTTGTTTATTTTGACTGTAAATGCTTTGAGGGTACCACTCTAGACAGTGGGAGCCTGATCTTCATTAGGTCTATCTTAATAGCAGTACCTTAATAAATGAGATTAATACCAGTTTCATTTGCCAAGTTCTAGAAATACAGTAGAGTCCCTGTCATCCGACCTAAACGGGACTGACATATGGTCGGATTACCGAATGTGTCAGATGATAGGGACTCTACTGTAGAGAGCAACGTTACAGCTGATGCCGCTCCTGCCGGGACGAAGCATCTCCAGCAAAGCAGCATCAGCTGTTCCACTGCTCTTTAGGAGCAGCTGATACTGCTCCTGCCGAGACACTTCCAGGCAGGAGCGGCAACAGCTTCTCCTAGACAGCAAGTGAACAGCTGATGCCGCTCCTGCCAGCGACGTCCCCAGCAGGAGCGGCAGCAGCTACTCCTAGAGAGCGACGGGGCAGCAAGCGGGGCCGTTCTCCTGGCCCGCACTGTATCTGACCCTGCAGGGTCGGATAAAGCAGAGTGTCGGATTACTGGGTGTTGGTTAATCCAGACTCCACTGTACAGGAAACTTCTATTACTACCAGTTCACTGGTAGAAATAACTGATTTTCATATAGTGGACAATAATACATTTGAAGTTCCTTCTTCCATCTCTCCTTGTTCTGCTATACATGAATTGTTTTACAATAAAAAAAGTCACCTTGATGGGTTTTCTCCAGTAAGCCAAGAGAAGCACAAGCATCAAGCAGTCTTTCTGTTCCACACACAGAGGCTTCTATCTTATTGGCAACATCCGCAGCCTTCAGTACACATTTATCTTTCAGAAGATCAAACACTTTCAGTTTAGATGCCACAAACAAAGCCTGTGTATAGGAAACATGCATTAGTGAGTTAAATTTAATTTACTACTGCTACAAAAACACAACATTGTACTTTTGTTTTTAAATATTTTTGAAAGCTTTCCAGAGGTATGAATTAAGTTCAATATAAACGTAAAACCATGCCATAAAGAACTAAAAAGTGTCTGTTGAATTTGCTCTTGGAAAAAGTGTCAGTTTAGACCTGTTACTTCTGGAACAGTTTGTTCCTGGCATCAAAGCAGAGATGTCAGCTTCTTTGCCATGGTAACAATGTTAGGTGAAGAAAAAAAAATAAAATAAAAAGCCTCACTAGTTAAAGCTTGAAAGAACCTGAAATGCTTCAGGTTTTGGTGTCTTAGAGTCTTATTAATCAGGAAACTTAAGCATAGGACTTTCTTTAGGCATATTTCATAATCTCTGCCATGTGCTTAAGTATGTTTCTGAATTAGGGTCAGAGAAAAAAATGCAATCTTATTCAAGTTGATTTTCCTAAGAAAATAAATTTCTTGGAATGTACGTTGTTTTATAGCTGTATTTCATTCCACACTAATTTTCTAAAAACAAAACAAAACCCAAAAAACTAAAAGCACATACAGCTGTTTTAGTTGAATACACTAATTACAACCATATACTGTATAATTTTATTGGAGAGGAATTTTTCATATTATGAAACCATGTGCAGATTCATATCTAAGGTGAGGTTGCAATACTGTTTCTTCAATTAACAGTGTGTGAGGAACTATAAAAAATATTACAAAAGAAAAATATCTATATAGCAGTTAAATTCTTTTAAAAATCAGATGGAGAAGTACGGATGAAACATGGGGATTGCAGTTTCTTTTAAAAATCAGATGGAGAAGTGCGGATGAAACATGGGGATTGCAGTTTCTTTAGATCAGTGATTTTATATTTAAAATGTTTATTATTTTGGGAGTGAAGTTGGTATATACAATGGAGAGGGGCTCCAAGGTGCTACAAAAAATTAATGTTTGCCATGGTCCAAAATGTTGATTTGTTACAAAAAATGACATTAAACTACTATTACATTTGACCAGGAGGGGAAGGTCTCATGAGCACTGAAGGTATTTAAACAGTTTATCTGCAATAGTGGAATGTGATAAGTGACCAGCTGAAGGCCTCTGAGTTCTAAATTTTCAGTGCTGATTTACATCATTGGAATATCATGGCTCTGTAAATGAGGGGGTGGGGTAGAAAGGAAAGGGGAGTGGAGGATGTGATATACCTTGACTTTAGCAAAGCTTTTGATACAGACTCCCATAGTATTATTGCAGACAAGTTAAAGAAGTAAGGCTGGGTTGAACCGTCTATAAGATGACTAGAAAGCTGGCTAGATCACCAGGCTTAATGAATAGTGATCAATGGCTCAAAAACTAGTACGCAGGCAATATGAAGTGAAGTACCTCGAGGATTGGTTCTGGGACCAATTTTGTTCAACATCTTAATAATGGGTTGGTTTGTACTCTGCAGTAAGTTCACAGATGACATTAAGCTAGGAGAGGTAGATATGCTGGAAGGTAGGGACAGGGTCCACAGTGACCTAGGCAAATTGAAGGAGGATTGGGGCCAAAAGAAATCTGATGAGGTTCAACAAGGACAAATGCAGAGACTTTAAACTTAGGATGAAAGAATGCCATGTATTGCTACAGTTTGGGGACTGACTAGCTAAGAGCAGTTGTATAGAAAAAATACTTGGGGATTATAATGGACAAGAAGCAGGATATGAGTCAACAGTGTGCCCTTGTTGCAAAGAAGGCGAACAGCATATTGAACTGCTTTAATAGGAGCACTACCAGCAGACCAAGGGAAGTAATTATTCCCTTCTATTTGGCACTGGTGAGGCCACATTTGGAATATGACATCTAGTTTCGGGCCCCCCCCATTGCAGAAAAGGTGTGAACAAATTACAGAGTCAAGTCACGTGCAATGAAAATGCTTGGAGGCTGGAGCACATGACTTACGAACAGAGGCTTATTTAGTCTTCAAAAGAGCGAGGGGGGGATTTGATGGCAGCCTTCAACAACCTGAACGGGGGCAGGGGGCGCAGCATTCCAAAGGGGATGGAGCCAGGCTATTCTCAGTGGTGGCAGATGACAGAACAAGAGGCAATGGTCTCAAATTGCAATGGAAGAGACCTAGATTAGATATTAGGAAAAACTATTTCACTAGAAGGGTTGTGAAGCCCTGGAATGGGTTACCCAGGGAGATGGCAGAATCTCCATCTTTCTGAATTTTTTTTAAAGGCAAAGCTTGACAAAGCCCTGGCTAGTTTTGCTTTGAGCAGGAAGTTGGACTAGATGACCTCCTGAGGTCTTTTCCAATCCTAATCTATGATATCATTAGTAAAAAAAGCCAATATTTATATTATGGTAGCACCCAAATCAAGACGTGTTGTGTGCTCTACAGCTACAGCAGAATCAAGCCAAACAAAATTTAACCTCCAATTTCCATTGAGCTCACTGAGTGCAGAACCAAGCAAAAAGTTTGGACACACAATTTTAATAAAAAGATTATTAGTTTTTTTTCTTGTTTGTAATTTACTGCAGCCTGCACTGGGAAGACTCTGAACCCACATGAAGGTCAAAAGGAAGTCATAAATTTAATTACAGCTTAGCTGTTAGTTTTCACTGCACTTTCAGTTTTTAACATGCTTTGGATAATAACTAGCTTCACAACTTTATTTTCTCCATTTTACAGACAAGGCAGTGTCAGGAGACATAGTATGAAATTTGACCAAGGTTACAAGGTCAGTGTCAAAGTTGAGATCATATGGTTCTCGGTTTCTAATTAGAACAAGATGAAGAAATAAATGCCAGTTATTCTAATGTCACCTTTTCTTTAGCTGCACTATTCTGACTCTTAGTGGGAAACCTGGCAATGATTCAAAACTATCCATTTATCAGTTGCTAGTCACAGCTGACTGCTGGAGCACATGAGTATTAGCTTTTATGTACATGTCTTCATGAAGGCCAAACACAAGTTACTGCATTGTGATCATCAGCTACAGCCCTCATTCAGACAAGAGATTTAGACAAATATTTCAGTGAAAAGTAAAGATAAAACAATATCTGAGCAACCAAGAAAAGGTAGGTCCTAAAGGAAATGACCATAAATGTAACAATAAAAGATTGAGGTACAGCACAATAGATGTTACTTAATAGGGATGATAGATGGTGTAACAGAACAGTCATGTAATCACCTGAAATTTTAGCGGTTACATGACTATTTGATCACCTCCAGGGGCGGAGCCAGCAGCCAGTGTCCTCCCGGCCCCCACTCCCGGGGAGCCCTCTGCCACCCCACATTGCTGCCTGTCACAAGGTGACAGGAGGGAGCCAGTTTAAAGCTTCCCACGCAGAATGGCTCCCGCCTGCTGCCTCTGATACAGAGGCTTCAGCATGTGGCAGCAGCAGCAGCCCCTATCCAGAAGGGGTATGAGCTCCTCCAGACAGAGCAGCTTCTGTCCAAGGTAAGTCAAAGCCTGCCACAGACAGAGGCCGCTCCATGGCAGCCTCCCCACCCCTGTGCTGCTGCCTCTAATGGAGGCAGCAGTGTGGGGAAGGGGCAGGCAGGAACTGGTGCTTAGGGTGATCTGGCTCCTCTTACGCACTGTCTCCTGCCTTTCCCCACCCCTGCTTCCTCTGTGGGAGGCAACAAGAGGTGAAGCAGGCAGCTCTGGAGCCAGCATGCACAGAGGGCCAACTTAAAAGTTGGCTTTCCCATCCATACCAGCTCCCAGCTGCCTCCCCTGTCCCTCTGTGCTGCTGCCTCTCTATCAGAGGCAGCAGCAAAGGAGGAGGATGTAGTTGACAGGATTAATTGATAAACCCAGGCTTTTTTATTTTAAAATACATTTTAAATGAGAAGTGTTTTCTCTACAGAAGTTAGCTTCTGTGAACACTGTTACGTAGAAAGTTGAATTGTCCTCTGAAGTGTTACTATGCCAAATATGGAGATTAAATTCAAATATTACAATGAAAAAGGAAGATTTTAATCTTACTTCAAGTGCAAATCTCAACAAAGCCTTAACTTCAGAGAGGAATCACTACAGACCGTTCCATGTTACATATTTCTCACCATTTACCTGCTGTTTCAGATATTTTGGATTACTATTAAATAAATGTTACTTTGTGAATAGCCTTATGTCTTTTCCCAAAAAAGTTTTACAAATACATGTAATATTTTAACAGTCACATAATCCACTCATTCCTCTTGTATACATCCTGCTGTCCCATCCTGATCCCTAGCCCTCCTCTCCCTCACCTTTGGTTCCCTCCATTTTCTGAAATCAATAAAAGATACAGATGTTCAGCACCTGTTAGGATCAAAATGCCCCCAAATAATTCTGCTGTTTTGGAGTCTCTCAATGGAATGTGTGCTACTTATTACGGTCTGGATCACTGGTGCAGCTGCAGGAAGATGCCACTACCTTGCGTAATCAGAGCGAATATTAAATATGGGTAAACTAAATGTATTAAATAATTTTTGTACATGCAGCAGTTCCCCATATGCAGTCGTGCTGCCTTTATTGTTAGAACTGCCAAAATATAGACAGGTGTTTAAAAATACAAATTTGAAGAATTAGATATTAGATCAAAGAGGGTTTTTCTTGTTACCTTTGAAGCTTTGAAGCCATCCATAAGTTCTATAATTTTTGATGGGAATGTAGCTGGATATTCCATCATGCCACCAAGATTTTCCACAGCTGCTGGGTAAACAGGTTTGATGTTACAACTGTTTACTGAAGTATAAATAGCTTCTGGAAGAGATATCCCCTTGTTCTCTAATGTGTTAGCACTTTTATGATGTCTGGGATATGACGAGTCACTCTCTCCATCGCTGAGGTTCTCAAAAGTCTCAACAGAGGGGATAGAGTCATGCTTTACATGATGTATGGTATGTTTGGGGGGTGGATAATACAACTCTGCTAGCTTTTTGCAGAAATGATTCAGAGGAAATCCCACCACGTTCAGGAAGTCTCCATGAACATATTCAACTAACATTCCACCAAGGGCCTGGATTCCATAACCACCAGCTTTGTCCCTAAGAGAGGGGAAAACAGACATTTAAGAGATGATCAAATAAAGGAGTAACTATCTAGGAGTGATTGTTTATCCCAGCATATGAATAGGTTTCATAAAAACAGAAATGGCAGAACTCCGCAGTGATTGAACTGTTTTAAAGCTAAAGCTAAACACCTACTTGAGGTTCAACACTTCAGCTTTTGAATCACAACAGAAATGCTCTGCTCCTTCCGCTTGTAACAGTAGATAGTCAAGTCCAAGTGAGAAATTTGATGCAAAGCTTCCTCTTATAACTTAAAAGCAAGGTAAAGTTTTGTTTTTTCCTGTTATCACATCACTCTGCATCCCACAGAAACAAGTCTCTCCCACACCCGGCCTGGCTCTTCCCAGAGCACACATGGTGGGCTGGGGCTGCCTACAGCCCCAGCCCTCCCCTTCCAAGTGGTCAAAACTGGGCCTGGTGTGACCCACATGGCGAGCTGGGCTAGGCTCACGGCACAGCCTGTCCCCACTTGCGGGGGCTGGAACAAGGCCGGGTGAGTGCTGCGGCCCAGACTATCCCCAGCCATGGTGGCTGTGTGTGGGGGAGAGAGAGAGAGAGAGAGAGAAAGCCCTGAGATAGTGTGGCAGAAGGAAGAATGGGCCCAGGATGGTGTAGAGGGGAGAGAAAGGACCCTGGTTGGCAGAGGTTGGGGGGAGGGAGAAGGGGCTCTGGCTGGTGGGGAAGCATGGGGAGGAGAGACAAAGGGGACCTGGGCTGGCATGGCAGGAGGAGAAGGGTCCTGGGCAGGTGCAGCCACAACCTGTCCCTCCCTAGTGGCCAGGAGATCCGGGGTTCCCTACCCCGTGCGAGAGGGAGGTTGGCGAGCATAGCTAGCAGGGGCACAGCCCCCTAGTTTTTTATAATGAAAAAGACTGGGTCTGGTAGGAAAAACAGTTATACTACAGAATGACCACAGGGGGGACAGCAAGGGGCCAGAGATGGGGACCTGGAGAGCTATTGTTCTATAGGGCCAGCATCAGGCATAGGTGAAGGAAGGGATGGCTATCTACTATATACTTCAGAGACTTTGTCTGTGTTTGTGTGTGTCTGTCCCCTAATTGGTGGCCATGGACAGGTACTTCTCACCTAGGCAAAGGTGCTGTGATGAAAGGGTTGGGGTTGTCCTCTCTCCCCTGAGGAAACCTGCATACTGAACCCCTCATGCCTAGCCTCACCCCAGAGAAATAATTTAAAGGAAGAAAAATAAAAACTTACTTTAATTAATTGACCTGGGCAATGTCAGATGAATAGTCGAGTCCTAAATCAAGTGATTTTGGAGATCTAGATTCAATGTTCACCGGGTACTATTGCAAATTATTTTTGGATTATAGCCTCAGACACATTCAAATTCTACTGGGCCAAATGGAATTGTCACCCCCATAGATCAAAGAAAGTTACCCAATTTCCACTGAAATCTTTGGCTGTATGTACCTAATGGAAAAGTTTAGCCAATTGGAATTACATTTTATACTCAAACATCACAATTTAGGATTCCAAAATCCACAGAAGACTCAAGGTTTAAAACTGTCACGTTGGATTTTGCTAATCAAACACTGAGTACTATTCTATCACTTGGGGTCTACACCGCACTTTTGAGCAACGCTCCCAGACCAGGTCCTCAGATAAGTTTGTGCTAGTGCTCTAAAAATGGCAGTGTAAACAGTGCTTTGAAGTTAAAGCTTACGCTACGGAGCCAAGTTCCAAAGCCTCAGCTCTAGCTGAAGCCACAATTTCAGTCTGCTGTCTATATCGCTTTTTAGACTGTCTACACTGCTAAGTTTAAAGTTTAGCCTCAGCAGCACTTTAACGTGGCAATGTGATCATGACACCAGAGCTGGGAGAGAGCTCTCCCATTGCTGTAGGTAAACCACCTCCATGAGGGGGGTAGCAGAGTGTGACTCCCAACCTTGGGAGCCTGTTTACACTTGTGTCTTACAGCACTGTAATTTGCTGCACTCAGGGGAGTGTTTTCTCACACTCCTGAACGTGAAAGTTACAGGGCAGTAAAGCGGCAATGTAGACCCAGCCCTTAGAGGTAGTGTGAGTCCCCATTAGCCAAATCTGTTGATCCACACTAGGAAGCTCGTTTCAAAGTGACATGTAAACATGTCCACAGGATCTCTGGCATAGTAAGTTAGTACTCAACGAGAGTAAGCTTGGTACAATCTGGTCCTTTATTCTAAACAGAATAGACACCTCCTCATAGCCTGCAACTTCAGATTTCTGAATTGTCCCCATTCCCACAATCACTAGATTTCTCCCTATTCCAATAGGACCAGGGGAGAAATGTGATATGCCACTCTGGGTCATTACGCTGGAACGTACACTGAGATAAGATGCATGAACTACACTGGCCTAACCACAGCAAGCATATTATTTTTCTAGAAAAGATCTGATAGAGTCAGCATGGGAATTCAGGAGAAAACCCCTTTCTAGCATTTTACTTTAGTCCTCTACTACTGCAAGAGGTGCTGTATGATTTTCAACTGCCAGGGTTCACCTTTAGCATAAATTCATTGATCAGCAACACGTGCAACAATGCTTTTAGACTGTTGCTTCACCATTTGCCTGTATGGAACTGCCCACAATGCCCCATGTTATACTTAGTCACTGTTTCTATTTGGAGAATGAAAGGTTAGGTGACCTAGAATCAGTTAAAATTCCTTCCCACTGGTTTCCCAATAATTCTTCCAGTGCTAAAATTCAAGGAACTGGTAAATATTTGCACTTTACACACATTTTCACTGGCTTTTTCTAACTCTAGCAGTGAACTACCTTGTTGACATTTCAGACTAGATGCATACACTGATATGTGGCTATCACAGACCTTTTTTAAAACAGTCCTTTAACATTTTCAATGATGCAAGAACAGCAGACTACATCAATTCACCTACATTGGATCTTGCCATGAATATGAATGCCCTTGAGGATCTTGACTTTAACCACTGTTAAACATAGTTGAATTTAAAAAAACAACTAATGTCAATGTTGGACCAAAACATTCTTCATTAGTTGTCCGTAGTAGGTTGCCTCAGAAGTCAAGGGGAGCCATATGCACATGTGTGAGGTTGAAAAGTATTTCTGGTTCCAAGACAATGTAATGTCTTTATTGACAGCTCTGCAAAGAGCAGCATAGCGGTGTTGTGGAGGAAGCTTTGTCAGCATCTTTGGATAAATGGAATATCACACAAAGAGGGATTCTGAGAGATTTTTTTTAAGAGGGAAATAAGAAATGGACATTCTTGACTTAGAAATATGAAGGATCGTTCTCTAAATCAACTAGGTTATTTTGTATTATTCAGCTGATGTTTATAAAACCTTGCACCAATTACTTCAGCGTATGCTGACTTGGGCTACATCTAGACGGAACAGTTTTTCCAGAATCTTGGAAAAACTGTTCCGTGTCTAGGGAACGCATTTGCTCTTCTGCTTTTTTTGCAGGAGAGCAAATGCACTCTTTTGGAAGATGTAGGGGCTTCCGAAAGCAGGTCTTCCCCCCTCCCCCCCCAACATTCGGCCCAGTCTAGACAGGCCAAATGTAGGAAAAGCCTCTTCCAACAAAAGAATCAGAAAAAGCTACACAAAAAAAGCGGTAGTGTAGACCTAGCCTTGGAGAAGGACTATATTAATCTCTAACTCTGATCCACTGCATGATTATCCTCATTTACATCGAGCAGAGCACCAAAAAAGCACTGACTGAAAGACTGCTAGTGCACTTAAAAAGATTGGGTTCAGCGCTTCCTCTCTGGGAATTCAAATACTAGTCAATGTTGTGAATGCAACTTCCATTTAGTTTTCTACAGTGCATCAAAGACTGTCAATTAACACACACAGAGCGCATACTTCTTTCTTTGTACTTGAGGCCAACAGTGTCTTCTGGCCTGTACTCATATGGTATCCTGTCTTCAGCAGCCTACTTACATTGGCTCTCCACTATGAATATATTCCCATAAAAGCTCTTCAGATAGTTCAGCAAATTTAACTTTTGTCTCTTCATAGAAATCAGTGACTTCAGTTTCCAGATGAGTCTCTGCAAAACAAAAAACAAAAAAAACCCACTGTAAACAAAAATTGTAATATGAAAGTAACAATACAAGGATAAAATAAATAAGCGTTTTACCTTTAGAATACACTACACCTGACATTGTCCATCAGACAAAATTGCTATACAGACTTTTATTTTTAAAAAGTGTTATGTTTTTAAAATTAAAAGGTCTCAAAAATCTGACCTACTTCCTTGCCTTCATTCATGGCCTGAGTCCGTAAAAAGTCCAGATTCCTGTATGTGCAAGACAAGGGCTGACTCCTAATTGAGGTGACAAATCAATTCAAGAAAGCCAAAGCAAGTAAAAAGTCACATTGCTAAGGTCAGCTCTACACTGGTGGAGGAAAAAATACAAACAAACAAACAAAAAAACAAATCAATGCAAAATATGCAATTCCAGCTACAACAATTGTGTAGCTGGAATACATCAATTTCCTGGGGGGGCCCCACAACGGGAGGTCCACCAGAGAAACTCTCCTGTTGATTTCCCTTACTCCTTGTAGTTGTGAGGAGTACTGCAGTTGACGGGAGTGCCCTCAGCATTCGATTTAGCAGTTCTTTACTAAAGCCACAGAGTCCAACATGCTACCCACTGGCCACCTGTGCTTATTTGGCCGGTTGAGCATTGGTTAGTTCGCTGTAGCACTTCAGAACTGGTTGGACAGCACGGTGCGAAATCAAACACCAGAAGGTCAATCTCCAGAGCTCCTCCTGTCATTATAGGCAAGCCCTGGTTCTCCAGAGTTACAGCACATGACTACCTGCCCAAGAGGGGGGGGGGGGGGGGAGTGAAGAAGAGAGGAGAGAGAGAAACAGAAATCGTAGTAGGATAAAATTGGTATAGCAGGACCTTATTCCCTTTTAAGGAATGCTCTCTAAATTAACTGTCAGTGACTACCATAGATTGCCTGCACTGGCAGTATATCTGCCTAGCTCAAAATAAAATTTAGTGGACATGCAATCAAAAACAGAGTAAAAGATATGCCAGAGACATTCCCCCAACACTGTGAATTACCATTATATCTAGCAATGTGTTACAGCATAAAACTGCAGCAATGAATATAACACATACAATAGCTGGAAGCAGCAGTCTGTCATCCAGCAGCAATTCCCTACTATCCTAACATTTCCTCTGCAAAGCTGTAACATGCTCTGACAAGCATTTTTGGCTTCTGAGTCTGTAGAGGGAAGCTGATTGTAAGCAACCTGCAATACAGAGTTATGCTAAACTCTGTGCGCATTTTGCCTGCAGGGAAAAAAACTTTAGTGTGGGGAATTAGAGCCCATGTGGATTGTTCTAAGGCAGGGCTACTCAACATGCATCCTGCTGGCCACATGCGGCCTGCAGCCCATTCATTTGCAGCCCCGCGGTTTGGGTTTACATGGGCCTCAACACATGGTCCATGGGTGGGTTCCTTTGAACATGGTCTCAACGGCAAGGTGTCTCCCAGGCAGGGTGAGCACTGAAAGATGCAAGCAGATGGGCTGGCTGGAACAGATACAGGGTGTTGGCATTTCAAGCCCCCAAGGAGGTGGTACTGGGAGCACAGGTGCATTGTGGGAAGTGCAGGCTGTTTAGCCTTGTGAGCAGAGCATGAAAGGTGCTGACTGGCTCACACTGGTCATGCTTGGGTCTGGTGCCACAGCTAAGGTTTAACCTTTGTATTTGTACCCATCAGTGTGAAAGAAGCTATTTGCATATATGCAACCAGACTTAAGTTGAAGCCCTCTGTATGTGTAGAGAGTATCATTGTGGCCCCTGGGGCTTCCAAAGTTGAGTAGCCTTGTGCTAAAGCAGTGGTCCCCAACACAGTGCCTGCGGGCGCCATTTGTGTGTGCCCGCCAAATGCTCGGGGCTGGCCTGGCCCCGGGCATGAGGTGCATGCGCTGTGCCGGGAGTGCCATGAATTGGCTGCTCGCCCCCCGGGCGCGCGGGGCATGGGGGGGGGGGG